CCGAGCGATTCTGTGATTCTGTGATTAATTATCTATTGGACTAAATATATGCCCCTTTTTTAACAAAGAATTTAACTTACTGTATGAAAAAATTTAGCAATCAACGCCACTATCATTGTGTGTAATATAAAAAGATGCTAACAACAAAAAATACAGAACAGTTAGAATAATACCAGTTCAAATATTTACATTTTTTATAGTTAGAAGCATTCATTTTTCCAAAACAGCACAAATCTTGTAACAGATACATATGTGAAATCAATCCTCTGAAGTTAATATATTTGCATGATGAGAGAAAGATCAGAATATGACACAGCAATCATATAAATACTTGAAATTTACTTTTCCTAATGTAAGTGTACCGTTTCAATGAGTTAACAGAACTTGCATTTTTCCAATGAAGCACATAACCTGTATGTTAATTTCTCATATAGGAATCTCTGCAGTTTAGAAAGATATGTTTGAGTGAGTTTGTTTCAGGCCCTTTTTAAGAAATATTGATCCCAAATGCATTAATGCCAGTCAAAGGCATGATTAACCATTCTGTAAAATTTTGCATTGTGCTCTCTGAAGTAAGAATACAGTTGCTCTAAAACTGTGTTGTTAACAAGAGGATGGGGACGCCCTTTGGATTCATGTAAACATCTCTCCCTTCCATTACTTCTAATGCAGTAGAATCCCTTAGTTTGGTTAAAATAAAAATTAGAAGACATAATCCGGGAAGGAAGATTTAGAAATCTTTCAACTTTTTGTAATTCAGGAAGAGGGTCCTTGATTAACGTATTGCCATCCACTATGTGGATCTGATCCAAACTGAAATGCTTAAGCCACTTTTCCATATGAACATCATAAAGGCTTCTCTGAATAGCTTTGTATTTGGTATTAAGTGCTCCATTCTTGATAACAATATCTTCGAAAAGCTGAACAGGCTTGTGACTTTCTACTCTGTTGTAATATACTTGGGTATAATCAGATATAACTCTCTCAGTGGGATCTCTTAGAATGAGCAGCAGTTTAATGGAGCTATTCATGTCATGAATTCTTTCCGGAGCCTGTGGTGATGTAAAATAGCCTGGTGTTTTCTCAATTGTAATTTGATTTCCATAAGAAAATGGCATCAGACTTCTATACCAGTCTATTCCTTTCATGTAATTTTCATCCCAGTCAAAAAAGTGGACTTCTGTAGCTGCTACCACAATATTAGGATGAATATCTAACATTTCCAGCAAAGCTCTTGTCCCTCCTTTACGAACTCCTATGATGATTGTCTGAGGTATTTGTCGACTTGTGCCAGGAGGTCTCACCTGTGCTGAGTAGTGTTCACTTCTATTGCTGAATAATCCTACTTGTGACTTCAGTGTTTCCAACAGTGCCCCATTCTCAACAGGAGCACCCTGAGCATGAGTCAGCAGAAGATAAGCTGACACTAGGAAGAAGGCCATGTGGAGATGAATTAGTTCAAGATAATGTTATGCTCGACTAATGAAAGAATAGGCAAGTCCTCTCTTGAGTTGGTTGGCAGAACCCGTGGTAAATACACAGCAAGTTTCTGAAGCATCTACAAAAAAAATAAATTTTTTTTTACAAAAAAAATATTTTTTTTAACAAAAAAAAAGACAAATCAGTATTTCTAAACCCATCACCAGTTGAAAAGTAAATTCACAAATCAATTCACAAACCTCATCTGTGATCACAACAGAAGATTTTTACTGAAGTTACTGGTTTTCCCTGACTTTATTTCAGAAGAATAAAAAAAACCCCGTGTGTTTGTTTTTTTTTTTCCTTAACCATAGGTGACCAATGATGGATACTGACTCTTCAACAGCTTTTTTATCTCTATGCAGAATATTAGAATTGTTTACCTGACAATTATTTCCTTGCTTTAATTTCCCCAATTCTCTTCCGTATATACCACATACTTGTCTAGTCATATATACACCATACCCAGTATGTTATTAACAATAATTTCAAGGCATTTTTGAATGAGAATGCCTTTCTTCAAATTCCCTGCTAGAATAATATATCCTAATCTAAATAATAGCAGAGGATAGTTGTGCATCCATTTGTTTTCCAGTGAGCCATGGATCACACGAAAAAAATTCTGTTTACTTAGACACAGAAAACAAATCATAGATGCAGGCAAAATTTTGGAATCTGAGCCAACAGATCTGCCATCACCATAGCACTGATAAAAATTTCAGATCAGTACAATACCTGTACTGGAACCACTATGCTTGGATTGCCTGTTTCTGTGCCTGAAAATCTTACAGGATAAATCCTTATTGAAAGGATTCTTGGCCTTCATCCCATTTCTGTGCAATTATAACATTTTAAGATTTGTACACTAAATCGATATCCTTAACTTGTTTTGTTTTCAATTTAGAGTGTGGAAACAAGCTGTTTCATACAGTGAAGCAGCAGTCATTTTAAAAACAACTGCTTTTGGAATCTATCTGAATTACGGCTCATATTTTAAAGTAGTTTCAGAAATACTATAACTTTAGCTCCTTCTTCAGTTCTGCTGTCAGTCTCTTTCTTTTTCTGAATATATTGGTCACAGTACTTCACCTCTTAGAAATGACCTTAGAAAACACAGCCAATTCCCATTTGTCATGGTTCCAAGGAGCACTCAGTAATTGTGTTTAAAAATTGTTTACTTTGAGGCTTACTTTACATTCTGAAACATTTAACATATGAACATTTTTCATAATAACAGTCTAGGCAATGTAGCAGATTCATTAAATCTGTTTTCTAAATCTTACTAAAACCTACTCTAGCTTTTTGGATATCTAGGGAATCACTCTTGTTAGTCTGAATGAGCTTTAAAGTCACAGACAGATAGCAAATATTAACTCTAAAATTGCCATTTTTGAAATAAACTATGACCTTTAGTGAATAAATCTGTGAGAGCATTCCCTGTTATGTCCAAGCATGACCTAAAGGGCAACTGCTTCAAAAAAAAAAGCACAGCTTCAACAAGGTAAAGTATGTGAGCATTCACCTACTAAATACTGGAAAAGTCCAAGTACAAATTAGCTTTGTAATCAGAGCCTGGAGAAAATATTGTTCTCCTTTACAAACTTGAAAGGAAGTTTTATTTTAAAGGACACTTTTTTTTTAAACTGAAAACTTTACACAGAAGTTCTAATTAAAGTTCTCAAGAGCAGGGAATGCAAGCACTTCTATGGAAGAACAGATATGTTTATACCAAAACCATTTGTAGTTATGTTTTTCAGAATGACTACCCTTTTGGATGGCAAGATTGGAAATGGTAAACACACTATTTAGTGCTGCTTAGCAATCAAAATGCATTCCGCTATAATGGCAGCTAATGTTGGTTTGAAAAGCTCTCATAAAACAATGACCATGCAATTTGAGGTATCACACCCCAGATGATACCTGAAATACCAGCCTTCAAATGTTAAGCATGTTTATAGGCAATGACTCTGCTTTAATAATTTCAGACCAAATTTTTGGTGATTCAGGTGGTTCCTAAACATCCATTCTGAGTAAGGATAGAAGTACGCATAAGATGGTTTTGAAAGCACTTCCTCTCTTCTCTAAAGTAGGAATATATGTCAGCACAGCTGCTTTCCAGACTGGAGAGGCCAGTAGGCTGGGATGTAGGAGGAGGGGCAAGTGAGCAGGCAGCAGTTAATCTTTCTTTTAACCTGTTCCAAAACCCCAGTGTTAATTTACATTCTATTAATTTTTAAATTAAAATTCTTTCAGGAAGATTGAAGAATTGTTTTTTGTAAACACCTTACAATTTTTTTCAATTTACAGTTTTTGTGCTGATACCCACAGCACATTATACATTATGTATATACACTTGTATGCATTAGACTACAAGCACTTTGAAACTAAGGCAAGATCAGCCTGAATGCCTGCCAAGCAAGAAATGCCTTGCAAATACCAAGATGGAGACATACAATTCATTATCTAATTTAAATTCTGGAACTATCCCATCTTGAAACAGTTTTATGAATTGATTCTTGACAGATATTTTTGGCAACTTTATTTAACCAGAAATAAAATTATTTTTAGAGGTTTTGAGAAGAAGTATTCTTGAGACTGAGTTGTTAATGTAAACAAAACATAGAAGGGGAGAGAAGAATAATTTTTTCTGAAATAAACTGAAACCAGTGTAAAAAAAAAAAGATACAAAAATATTTGAGACTGGAGACTCTGCAGTAGTACACACAGAAGTGTGTTCTTCCTATATCTGGTGATGGGTGAAAAAATGTTCAAATTAACTTTTTTACAAAAGAAAATTCCAATACACTAATAGTGTTTCATACCAAATTAACTGACAGTTAGCTGGTTTCAAGCATCTAAGAATCAGATGCAAACAGTGCCATCCAAAGAAGTCTGGAAGCTGAAAGAGAAATTCATACTTAAAACCAAGGTAAGATTGGTCTTCCATAGTACTCTCAGGTTCACATGTGTTGTGTCTGTTTAATTTACCATCTGAAATCAGCAGTTCTCTACAAAACACACTTAAAACGCAAGTAAGAGAAGAGATTTTGCATTTTCTATGGACCTAAGTATTAGTAGCATTTTTGAAAACAATTACATTAGTTTAACCAGTTTGCAATTAATTAGCTGTTTTACACAGTGGAAATTTCTGGGAGTCATTGCTAGAAAAAAACCTTACCCAGAAAATACTACCAGAAATAATTCAGAATGTGCTGTAAAACTGGTGCCTAAATAGATAAAAATTGCCTTTGGGAGCAGTTTCATGAGAACAGCTTCAGCCTAAGATATTTGATTGATTTCGATGCAGCTCTAAGATGTTAGATCCTATGGTTAGTTTAGAATTGCTACATAAATGTAAAGGTTTTAAAGATAATTTATCAAATATAATTGGAATGTTATTTTAATAATTTTTGTGTTGCTTTTCTGCCTTTATACAATTAAATGCTCATTTTTAGAAAATATGAACTGCTTTTTATTAGGAAAAAAAAATTTTCACATTTCTGCATGGGACACTCTTTGAATCTCAGAGTATTCCTAAGAAATTAACCCCAAGATACATGATCAGAATTATATAAGAGCATGTTTTTTTCTTATTATTTGGTAGTGTTGGTGTTGCTTAGTAACATAAGGAACATCATCAGATACGATACTTATTAAACAGAAAAGAGGTTCAGAAAGAGATGCATGCTGCAGAGAGGACTAATTAGGTAAATAACACCTTGGGCTTTTGTTTCTTTCACTTTTTTAAAACCTTAGAATATAATGGAGAAGCTAATACTCTGGCTGAAAAATCATTTTAATATTGCAGAAATGTCTTAAAGATTGCTGCTCTCTCTTGTAAAAATAAAACAAATTTGTAATTGGCTTATAATTTATCTTGCTTCAGGGTAAAGTACAACTTCATAAGGTAAACCTAACTATATTATTATTACTGATTTATAATATTATTAATTTCTAATAATATTTTCCACTGCCTGTAATGCTTTAATCAGAGAATTTCACAGCAGTTTGTGTTAATGAACTGTCTGCACCCTATTAAGGCACCATTCTTACCTTACAGGAAATTGCAGCTGACCAATCTATAGATCCAGTTCAGGAGTGCAAATATTTTGGAAAGTCAAGGTTACTGTGAACTGCTCAAGGTCATATAACAGGTTTATAGTCCAACCAAGAATAAAAACCCCAGGTCTTCCAATTCCCCTTCCAATTCCAGCTTTGTGCCATTTCATGGCAGGTACTCGCATCTCTTATGGTAACTTATACTTGGGTTACATGCTGAACTGAAAAGCAAAGAGATTCCTCAATGCTTCAGCATAAGATTCAAGCGTTTTGTGGAATGTGGCAGTTTCTTCCAACTTGCTCTCCCCTCTCAAAATTGAAACAAAGTACAAACTTAGGATTTTGTTGTTTCAAGTTATTTATACAGAAATACTCCTGAAAACTACAAGGGGAAGTGGTCAGAACAAGTCAAATGAAGTACCTATTTTTGTCTTGATTTTTTAAAATATATTTGGATTTTAAAAATGTACCACTTTTCCTATTCATTCCTGTTAGATATCAACTCATCCTAACACAAAGCTCATGCCATTGAGAAGAGTACAATTCAAACACTTTAAGGCTTACTGGAACACAAATTTGTAACAGCTTAACTATATCTCTATAATTAAGAACATCTCTAATGCTGACAATACAAAAAACTATAGCAGCCTAACTGTATTCACAATCAAAGGTCATATAAGGTGAACTGTTTCAGGAATTTTTAAAAGAAAATCATACTGTGATGACAGTTATGTCAGTGTAAAGTATCCATATATGGACTGACTTTATGTAATAAATAATTCTAAACAACAATACAATTCTAAAAGTTTTCAAATATCTGAAATTAGGCTAGTTTCTTCCTTTGGTAAAAGTAGAGCTAGTTACATAGCATAATAAATGCAAATCTGCTCTGACTATGGCTTATACATTTTTGAAAACAGGCAAATGAATAATCCAGTGCATATGTGATACATTGCTTAATACAATCCAGTGTCAATTTATTCAAATCCAATAAAGCAATGACTAATTCTATTA